CTTCCCGTGGTTTTAGTGTCAATGAACATTTAAACCCTTACCTTTGGAAGACAAGTTTCGTTGCGTTTTAAAACCAACTTGTATCCTTGAGAAAAGAAATCGAGAAACAATATTTTGATGGTTGTATGCAACACGACTCCTGAAGGACAACTGATGATAGACCAAAAGAAATAAATTATTTGTTCTCATTAAGAATGTTTACGGCGCTTTTATTTTTTGACAAAATAAGGGATTTAATTACTTGAAAAGATTTTCACTGAATATTTATAGCTTAGTGCCGCTCTTTTGGCGAGTCAATGTTTTTCAAGATATTTTTTTTGTTCCGTTCCAAAAAAGGTTCTTGTTTCAGATTAGAAACCTTGTCAACAGTATGTGCCACAAATGAACTGTATATGTTGAATTTGTACACTACCGTGTATAGAGTTTAGGTTTTAAATTAACATAAAACGTGAACTTAGCGTCAATACAATAATATATTTCGCAGTAACACAAATCGAACTCACTCTCAGACAAGTGAAAATGTTAAAAATTCAGCACTTAAAACTCCGTCCGAGAAACATCTTTTTTGCTTTCTTCTTTACATTGGGGTTTTGAACTTTATTTTAATTTCATTGATGCCACAATCAAGGAAGAGTGAGATGGAAAAATCAATTGATAAATCGTGGGTTTAGGGTTGGACAGAATTGGTTTGATTAGAAAGATCAAGAAAGACTATGAGTCATGGCACAAGTATTACAATCAATGGGAAGATCAGAACAACACATTTCCTGTACCACGATAGGTAAGATGAAGGAACACAAAAGACGGGGTATCTATAAACAAAAGATGGATATCCCTTGGTTTTGTATGAACAAACGCAAACTGAGATGGGATGTTTATAGCTCAGTTGATGCGTTTCAAAAAAATATTGGCTGATTGCGGTGTCATGTGGTTTCATGTGAATTCGCCTAGCGTGTTTTTCAATGCTGGTGTATTTTTCAAATTGTGTATTTTCATTACATCATTCAACAAAAATTATTCATTGTTTGTCCTACCTGCGGAGGTTTTTATCTGTCTCTTATTTCACGGCAAATTATCTTTTTTAAAGTATACTTTACCGGGCTTCGCCCTCACGAAATCAATGAACAATTTGTTGGATTAGTCGTTGTCAAAATGTAAATTCCACCAGCAGATATTTATCAATAAATGGAATTTTCCCGTGACTGAAAATTGCATTGGAAATAATCGATTAAATTAATGCAATAATTTTATTCACAACTCAGTTTAGGAATATGGACTACTTGCTAAGTCTGAGTTATCGTTGTTATCATAACCTTTGATAATTGTCTGAGAGACTACTCTGAAAACTGAGAGCGCTGGACGAAAATTCGCCTGATCTCTCAGTTTAATCTGCACAACACCGAAATTAAGCGATCAAAATTACAATGGAACTCTAGAAATAAAAATAAATATAAATAAAGAAAAAAACGTTTCTCTTCAAATAATGCTGTCATAAAAAGAAAGGATAATTTCTAACTACGGTGAATTGTTTCTTGGGTTACGAGTTAACAGGAATAAAACTGTAAAGTTTCTGAAGTGTTTTGATTCCAAATCAGTGAGTTTCTTTTTTTATCACGCCATGCATACGTATAGCAAATGAGCTTAGGCAGGTTTAAATTTGAAATGTTCCACAACCAATCTTTCTAATAAGCCATTAGCCTTGCAGTCGCCATTGCATTTAACCGGCTCTATGTAAATCTTGCTCTATTAAATTTCACGCAGTACAATTTGCAAATATCGCATTTGGGGAATTCTTGAAACAAAAACCTTTAGGATCACGCAAAGAAATGAACTGGTTATACCAGGGTGATATTAATAAAACTCTCGAATTCTTACAGAAAGGAATTTTTGCACTTCAGTCGGTAGATATCTCGAAGCGCAAGTGTTTTAACTAAATCAAGACTTACCTCGTCAGTAGTATTCTTCATGAACGTAAGCGTTTCAGCTTAAAAGTTCTGCCAAAATCTATAAATTAAGCTCGCTTTCGCTCGCTATAATGTGAATTGAACTTAACAACCGCTGAAAGCGCGGATTGCAATTAGCTTGTTTCTTTTTTCTTCGCCGAGCGCGAGGATGATTTAACAGCGATAGGTCTCCGGTAGTTCAAAATAGATGCCCTCTATCTTGTTCTCGCCTGCGTCATTCTCATTGGAATACCAAATAACAAAATAATTAGAAAAGAATTAAAATTGAGTGCTTAGTTACCTTAGAGCACAACTGTTAATATCATGTACGGTTTCACATCAGCTTGTCAAAGTCTTCTCTTGGTTCCATAAAACTAATCACTCAATTTTACTTTAGGTCATTTTAAACAGTGACAGTTCTTGTCCTGGAAATTGTTACGTAACTTTCTTAACTTTGTTCGTATTTTCTTTGTATTGTATTTATTTCTTCAAACATATCATCATATTATGTACAAATTTCGTTCCATTGTTTTCAGTTATTTTTTGTGAAAAACAAAAGAGGAATCTTAAGGATCAATTTCCGGTACATAGTGTATTGCATTCAGACCATACGTTCTCTGCAT